GGGTGGGGAGGAAAATGTAAGAAAAGTGTAAAGGAGGGGGGAGGGGGGGCAAAAATCCTGAAAAAGGTGTACGATTATATTTGAACAGCCCCCAAACCGCGCTGGTCACACCTGCCCAACGTCAGCGAGAGTTTAAATTTAAGAACCTGACACATGTACAAGTCTATGCAACCTCCATGCAGTTGGTTTTTAAACATTCACATTTAACTTTTGATTTTGATCTAACAAAATTCACGTTGGTTACTTTGATTGCAATGAACACATACCAACAATGTATTCCAATAATTCCATGACATTTTGGCTATACACGTCTTGCAACTTTTCTTGCAACTTTTGTTGATTTTTCTTGCAACTTTTTGCAACTTTTGCCATTTTCAAATGCAACTTTCTCTGAGGAGAGATATAACATCTTGTTAGAACTCTTAACACAGTAACTGTTGATTCATACTTTTGTTTTGCAGGTATGTGAATGAAAAAGTGGAAAATATGGCCCTTCAGAACAGCCAAATTATCCACAACGTATACAGTGATGGAACAGATGCTGCTTATGATTCAGAAACGGACGATGAATCAAGCAGACCTGCTTAAAGCAGCACAATACCAAGGTGGTTTGTCACATTTTGGAAAGACGGGAGTCAAACTTTATGGGACGACAGTCTTGTGAGAATTTTTTGCCATTGTAGCAAAACGCTAAATCGCTCAAGAAATAATTATGTTCTGGAAGCAAAGGTTGAAAGCAAGAGAGGATGGGGGATACCTAACAGATGGTGGGAACAAGACATAGGAACCTGACTTGGTACCAAAGCAACACTGGCAGGCAGAATGGCGAGAGACAGGGTGTTTGAATGTGTTTTATTGCAGAAAAATTGGAGAAGCAAAATCCAGCTAATGGAAAAGCTTAGGAAAAGAAGAGTAAAAGTGCAGGTGTCAATATGTGAATCTTTTATCTTTAATGGAGTGCATAGTATCTGTTAAAGGCTATTTTATTTTTAAAAGCCAGTGCTGTTTGTTAAAGCTTTCTATACAGATTTGCCTATTACAGAGCTTTCTTTGATGTATTTCAACTATTTAATTACCTGTTTTGAAATATTTTTCGTGCTATATTTTACTTTTATATTCACTGAAAATGTGGGAAGTATGTCATAACTATTTTGCACGATGAAATAAGATATTGTGCCTTTTTGTGATCTATTTGAAGAAAGCAATGTCAATTTATATGCAAGACGCAAAAGAGAAGTTATTTACAAATGAACTGTTTTTGCTGATCATATTCTTGGAATTGTTTATATTGAAAACTTGCTGTGATTCATTTACATTCTTGTGTTCTCAATCTCCTGCTATTCCGAATACATCTGTCTATTGTTTTCATTTTTTTAGGGTGGTGGGGCTTGCAATGCTTTTGATTTGTCAAAATATTTTCAAATTTCTAAATCACAGTTACAACAAAGTTAAAAACTGGTTTTGTCTTTACATGACATAAATACCGAAAATGGGTTTTTGTGTTGTCTCATTAACCATGGTTATGATTTTCTTTTGTTGATGTTTTCATGTTGTGTGAAATCATTCCTAGGGGACTCGTCGAACTTGTGGACCCAAATGCATGCCAGAGCATGTACTTCTTACCAAGTGAGCTTAGGTCCATGGGTTCTGTAGGTTTACAGGACTAGGGCTCAACAATGGGCTTACCTGGAGATATGGTATTTGCTGCTTGTTCCAGACATTCTGTTTAATCGGTTTTTGGACAGCTAGTATGGTTAGATGATATATGGTTAACTTTTTTCAAGTTTTTCATATCCCTGGTCAATAATAATTTTTTTTTAAAATTTTTTTTGGGGGGGAGGGGGGTGGGGGTCATTTCAGATAAATTTGAAAAGAAACTGGAAAGCCTGAGAACTGGTTCCTTAGGTCAGGCACTCCTCGACTAAGAAAAAATTGAAGAATGTAAATATCTTTGTTGCCAGGAAGAAAATCTTAAGGAATCTCTTCCTAACACTGAAGAAACTGTATGGATTCAACAATTTGTAATACCCCGGAGACAGCTGAAGAGTGTTGAAAATGTGTAGCTTTATAGGCTGTAAATAGAGGAAGTGCTCCAAATGGCAGGTTGTGAAAGATCTATAACCAGAACCATCAAAAAAAGACAATTGAGATTTTTTGGCGGCATAAATAGGTCAAATGGATAGAGAAACTGCTGCTGTGTGGAAAGTTAGAGGTAAAGAAGAACAGAGTCAGACAAAGAACAACATACACAGATGGCCTGACCAACTTTGCAACAAATAACGCCAAAAAAAAGAAAAGGAAGGAGGTACCATGATTGTCAACGTCTGCTCCAGACCTCACACCTGACGAAGAAGATATAGGCTGTAGTTGAAAATAAAGCTTATAAGGAAAATAAGAATGCAAAATCTGTTGAAGGACCAACAGTCGATTACCCATGAAGAGATTTAGCATGGAAGGTGAAAGAAAATGAAACCGTTTAGCTCAAGTGTACCTGAACATTAAACTATCAGTCTCTTTCTTCTCATTTGTTCAAGTTTTTCCTAACCACTCTGAGGAAAGATACATAAGAGAAATTGTTTAGTGAAGATATTGAAGGAAAAATTTCGTAATTGGAAAATATGTCTATATGTCAAAATGTTGATAAATCGGATGTCGATGTAAGTGGATTATACTGTATATGACTATGACTATTTGATGACGGTAACATGTTTTTGTTATTTGACATTTTTTGCTATTTTCTGATGGTGAAATGATTTTTTAGATTTGATTATTATGGACATATACTTTGCAACTAGACATTGATAACATGTTTTGTTATTTGGCTTCAAGGTTTTATTATTTTCTGATGGTTACATGTTTTTTAAAAATTTGATTATGGACATATGTTCTGCAGCTGGACAATGATTACATATTTTGCTGTATGACATTAGTCACATGTCTTGTTGCTTGACTGTGGATGCACATTTTGCTCTTGGATGGTGGTTACCTTATATTTGTTATTGGACAATGAGTAAACATTTTGCTATTTGTACATTATGTCTGACAGCCTATACAACTTTTACATCATTTTCCTTAACTTTGTATGTTAGACTGATTGGAGCAGCGCAGAAGAATTTTTCTTACTCATCAAAGATCACAGATAGTTGGAAGATACCACTTGTGGGGGTCCTACTTCTGTACCCTGTTATTATGATATAAACATGCTTCTCTCTCCTCAAACCGACTATAATAGTCTGAGACTGGAATCTGAGTGAGGAGAAGTCCAGATTTTTCTCCTTACCCTTAGAATGTTTTACCTCTCAGCACGATGTGGTGAATGGGAACCAGGTAGCTACTTTGCTGTTGCTAGTGACCTCCCTCACATCTTGCTGAGTGTTATATGACACCATACATTTATTTCATGAACTTAATGTATCTTTTGCTAACTACATTTTTCCTGTGCTGATGCAAATCGTTTTGAAAGTATTAACTAAATTCCAGTCACGAAAACAGAAGTTAGTGCAAAATTAAATCGAAACTTAAATTCTACAGAGTAAGGGCATTAACTTGAATCATTTTGGGCGCAAAGGGAATATTGTTTCAACTGTCTTTCCAGCTGGGACTAAAACTTCCAAAAGTCAGAAACTGGAGTTACTACAAGATAGCTCTCAGCTCGTGATTTGTTTCCAACTCTCGCTGTTAGTCTTTGTCTGTACCATGAGAGATTATGCCTATCTGTTAGTATCTATGTTGTTTTGTTCTTAACTGTATCCACTTTCAATCACTGTGATAATATTCACAATACAGTGGAACCTGCTCTTACAGCTACCTGTCCAAGATAACCACCCATACAAACAACCCATATGTTTGGGGGTTGTTTTTTTTTCAATACTATAATGATACTTTTCAAGAGGATCACCTGTCTAAGATGACCACCACCCCCCCCCCCCCCCCACCCCCCACAGTGAATGATCATCTTGGACTAGTTTGACTGTACTTAAAAATGCTTTTTAACTTTTTGTTTCCATATGTCTCTTAACCACACCGAGTGTACTTGACACTTGTAATTTAGAGTACACCATATTTGTGGGGTTGGGCGCTACTCAGTGGTGACCGCATGTGTTTACTTTGCTGTGTGCTCATATTTGCTTTTGTATATTTCTGGTTTTCAGCGCTATACTATAAATTGAGATTTTATGTATTTTATTCCGTTGAATATTTACTCTGTTTTTAAGTGAAATTGCACTGTTATTTGACCTTCTTGACTGTTTTCTTCCATTGTTTTATTGTTTGTTTTGAAATTCACTTTTCTTTTTTGTACCTGTGAAATATTTTCTTTTTTTAAAAAATTGTTTGAAGTATGTAATCATTTTTATTTGTGTGTGTGTATGTTTCGACAATGCTTCTTTTTAAATTATCCCATGGCTCTGGACCATTTTTTGGAGGTGTAATTCTATGTAGTTTATTTGTTCTTTCTTTTTTGTAGCTTTATTCCGATGCTGTTCGTCATATTATTTGCTATAAACGTACTTATATTTTTATGTCTTATAGTTACCTTATGGAATTCACTTTATTTAATGGGAAACTATCAGAGCCGCGCATTTTCGAGAAAAAAACTACCAAAGCCGCACACTATCAATGACACGCACTTTATGACGATATCGATACAATTAGATTGCCGATTCCATCCAACAGTTACACTCCCCTTAACAAAATTACTCTCTACAGCCCCCATCTAAATATAATATAAGTCTTTCTATAGACATTAGGAGACTTTCAAACCATTTCTATGCTGAAACTAAAACACACAGGTCAAATAGAAAGACACTACCAAGAAAAGGAAGGGAGAATGAATAACAAGCAAACGTTCGCACATGGGCATGTCTCACTACTTCAATTTTTATCCTAAATAAGCAAGAGAATGCTACCCCAACACTTTAAAGATTGTCCCTGTCCTGTAGATGTGTTTTTTATACATGAAAAACCTGTTCATTCAATACAAAATCTACTTGGTATATGCTGGTCCCAAATCCTGTAAAGTACAGAAGCTACTTAAAGTGCTGGATGGTAGTCCTATTGGTTTTGGTAATCAGAAGTCTAATTGTATCAATATCTTCAAAAAGTGCGCGGCTTTGATATTTGTTTTTTTCAAAAGTGCGTGGCTCTGATGTTCTCCCTATTTAATAGCATATTATTAAAAAAGAGTGTTACTAGTGGGATCCTGATTATTTTTTTTGATAACTGGACCCCGGCCACCCACTTGAGGGAGATGCTGATGAAGGAAATGGAGCCAGTACATGTGTTGAAATTCCATAAATTTAAAACCCTTTGCTGTGAGTCTTAAGAGGTGACCATGGTGTGTACCTTGGTATTTTGCAGAAAACTCCAGAAGGTTTAATAGGTCCAGACCTTGATAAAATTTTAACCAGTCCTCTTTGATTAACAGCAAAATGTGACTTAATTATCATACATTTCTTTTATTTTAGTAATTTGCAAGACATTTACACTTCTTTACTAAAACACATGCTCAATATTATTAATGCAGATGAAGAGACTCTTTTCTCTTCACATTGTGAGTTGTCTACCATAATCATGCTTTTTGATGTCCAGCAGTGTATCTGTATGCACTGATTTGCTTTTTTATGTCCATAATCCTGTCTATTGCGATAATGTATTTTCATCAGTGTATATGTAGGTCAAAATGTAAGTAATGTTTTTAGTAGAGGCTTTTAAAAATTCGTCTCGATGTTGCATGTGTTTGCCTCTGCAATTTTTTATTGTAATGCACATTGTGAGCATCTTATTGAGATGAAAATGGGCAATATGAAAGCAGATTATTATTATTAAATGAACAGTTTTGTGGTGCAATGTAAAGGTGATGTATACATCTGCTGACATGATATTTATGCTACGATGAAATCCGTGTTGAATTTAATTATTTAATGCATTTGATTCATTTTATATCTCAGCACTTTTTTGACAAAACAGTACTTATCCACATTGATATTTTACAAAATGGGACAAGTCCAAAAAGCATTTTCATATGACTAGAAATAGTAAGGGACAAGGACAAAAACCAACCACTTAAAAACTTGATTGCAGATCCTTTTGGTAGTCTACTGCGAAAATGAGTTCCACTTTAAGGCCTGTGGAGGGTAATTTTATACTGCACACTCCCACACCCTCGCTGATGTACTTTTGCTACCGTAGAATTACAAAGTTTTATCTGACTTTTTTTGGCCGTTTTGAGTAACAAAGAACATGAGGTCAGAAACCAAATGTTCTATCTGCTCTATCAAAATTGTAAGATTATTCGGAGTCATTATCAAAATTTTCAAACAAATTGCATTTGAAAAAGCTTGACATGTTGTGAAACTCAAAATCTTTGACATCAGATTTCTCAAAACTAGGTACTGAGCAGATAGAGCTTTGAAATTCTCGGGAAGCGTGCTGTCAAGAAATACCCATACTCTCCCTCCGGAAAAATAACCTGCGAACATTTCTAATTCAACCAATTACTGTACCAAGCCTGTATAAATGCAGAGAGAAAAGTATTAGATCGTCAATTGGAACAGTTGTCAGACTGAGCTGGTGGTAGACTGTGAGGAAGCACAGAAACTTGGCAGTAGATGGTCAAGTGGATCGGCTCCCAAACTTTTGTTGACCACAGATAAACTCACATGATTTAAGTAAGGAAAGAACATGATAGGTGCAGGGAGGAATTTCACCCTTTGCCAAGAAAGATCGACCATTTCTGTCATGTTTTGTTAAAAAAAAAAAAGCTTCACTGACTACAGATCTTAACAAGTGATTATTTGCTATGTGTGTTGAAGCAAGTTTAATTATAGAATTTATTTCCCTCTGCCGGATAATAACTATGTTGGTGACAAATTTTGGCAAAGTTTGAAACTGACATTATTAGTCATGAAGCTGTTCAAGTTTTTTTTTTTTACATAGTTATACTTTCAATCGTGTGTGTGCCTGGTACCAAATGACACATTTGGAAGAATCCTAGGGTTTTTTTTTTGCATTTTCATGTACAGAGATCATATTTACAATATAATATATAATGCTTTTTGAATTTTTAAGATGTCTTCAGTAGTTTTTGAGATTGGGTGATTTTTGTAAGACAGGGTACGGAAACAAAGTTTTGAGAAAAACGGCTTTAAAGTTTCCCCTTGTTTCTGCTTCAAATGATCTACGCTTCAAGACGTCCTGACAACACATTCGCTACTCACAAACCAACTTTGAAAAGCAGCTAAGAAAAAACTACAGCCTCAAAGTGTTTATATTACGTCTTCAAAGCAAATTCACCACCACCTTGAGCAAGAATTTTCAAGAAATTAGATCTAAGTTTGCGCAGGGCAGAATTTAATTAATAAGCGATTCAAGTTTGCTCTCCCCCAAAAAATGAAAGTGTGTGGATGCGTTGAGCTTCGCTTTGTTTACCTGTTCTAGATATTCATGCACACTACCCGCCATTAGAGAACAGAGAGAAAGACCTAAATTTTGATATGCATAAATTGTGATTGGGTCGACTTTATGAATAAACAAGAGAAACCATCGGCAGTGTTTACTCGGTAAACCAATTTTCTCACGCATTTTTGGGGATTATGAAATAT